TTTTTTTTTTTTTTTTCCCTTAGGAACTCCAAAGGGAATCAAGTGAAATGAAGTGATCTGCGAGACAGGCGGTGAGCGCGCGTTGGAGGGGATTTAGAGCAAATCTGAATTCACTGTGAAACGTCCCGAGCTGGAAAACAAACAGCACCGGGGTGGAGTGGGTTGGTGCAGAAAGGGCTCAGCCTTCGGGGGGGTTCCTGAGGCCGCCGGGTGCGGGGCGACGGTCGCCGATCGGGGGTGGCTCCGCGCTTCGCCGCGACGCTGGGGCCGGGCAGTTCGTTTCTAATCTTCGGAGGCAGGCGAATATAAAAGAGGAATTTATTAGCTTTCAGGCCATCCGAGGAATAAACATTGATTTTATTGACCTAATTATGGGCCAAATGACTCCTTCCATCGATCACGTAAAATACTTCATTTGGAGAAAAACAGGCGCGGGCGCCCGGAGGCGGGGAGAGCGGGTGGATGTGCTGCGAAAGGGAAAGAAAAGCAAAAGCTAGAAAATGCATGGAGAGGTTTTAATGCAGTTAACGTGCCCATCGCGCTGCAGAGCGAGCCCTGTCTCCCAGACGTTGCAGTGCGGATGTTTTGCAAACTTAAAGCTTTTATGTCGAATTCCAATCCGGCCAGTCAATTTGGCTAAAATAGCATTAAACAAATGGACAGCGGTTTATTTATATTCCGCCCACTGTATTTTATAGACAGAGAAGAGTTATTTGAAATGTATTTTACAAGCACAAGACAACACGTCGTTTCGGACCGAGAGCAGCGATTTCTCGTAATTAGAGTAGACTCAACACTAATAAAGCAGCAAACAGGCTTTTCTCTGGGCTTAAACTCTGCTACTGTCCTTAGCGCTTTCTGGCGGGCTGGGATTGCAGATTCGTTAGCGAGGGAAGGAGCGCACCTGAAGGCACCTGTCCGGGGCTCTGGGCTGCTTCCCTGCTCTTGCCAGGGCGGGCAGCGCTCATGAAAAGCGAGTTTTTAATTTTTTCTTGCTGGCCGGTGACAGCGAGACCTGCCTTTGGATTTATTTGCTTGAGAATTGACGGGGGGTGGACGCTGTATTTAGGGGGAGGGGGCGGCGCAGGACGAGACGCAGTTTTGGCAGGATGTTTGCTCCCTTCTTATGTCACCTGAGATATTAGTTCTCACCCACCTCCCTCCAGCCCTAAGTTCAAGGGGCTCTGCCTGATACTTTCAGCACAGCTGTTCCAGAAAGCTCGATCTTCCTCTTTCCAGCCTTTAAACCCTTCTCCGCGCTTCTCTCTCCCGGGCGCGTTATTACTCCCTCGAGACGAGCTTCGGAGCTCAGGGGCTTCCTCCCCATCCTAAGCAACAGAGCCTGACGGCCGAACTCCTATTGCCCGCAGCTGAACTCCCCGAGTCCCTCGGTCCCGTAACGCGGTGCAAAAACGCCGGGGCCGGGCCGGTGCTGCGCCGTGCCCGCACCAACCTCTGCTACCCCGACAGCACTCGGGAGGGCCCTGGGCCACCAGCAGGTGAACGCGGGTCCCGCAGGTGACAGCGGGCGGTGGCTGCGCCATCCGCTGGCCGCAGCTCCGAGCAGCCCCGGGCAGCCCCCGGCACCCGCTCCATCAGCTCGGTTCTGCCGGGCGAGCTCCCTCCTCCCTGCAGATAGAGCTTTATGCAGAACATCTGGAAGGGAAGGCGAAATAAACGACAACGCTTTTACACCACTTCGTACTTAACTTTTCTTTTTATGTGGCTGCTCTGGATTTTCCGACGCTTTGTACAGCTCCAATCTTGTTTGGATGTTTGTACATGTAATACTCTGCCCACTTCAGCTCTTTGGGACGGGCTTTTCTTCTGTTTTCTTCCTTCCACCCCCTCTCTCGACCCCCTTCCACATCCCAGTGTGCGCAATCTTTCGCAATCCGCTCTGCTCACTTCGCTGCCGGGGATGGACGGTCAGGGGCTGTGCGGGCTGTGCCTCCCATAACCTGCCCCGGGGCAGGGCGAGCGGCTCCGAGAGCGGCGGCAGGCACCAACCGCGCCCGTGCTTTGCGGGAGGTGAACTGCCCGCACGGCGCTCCCACCAATTCGCTCCCAAAGCCACCCTGCCACCCTGTCGGCCTCTTGTCTCCACCGAACAGGATTTTTCCCTGACCTCGGATCGAGACAATTGTCCTAATGGTATTTAAAGAAAGCGTGGGTAAAACATACGTGAATGCTTTCTCCGTTATTTAAGCTGGAACTTCCAAAGCGAGCGTGCCCGGTCTCGCTAACGAGTCAGGAGCAGTTTGGGGTCCGCTCCCACGGCCCCCGAGGTTCTTCATGAACCCGAACACTCTCGGCGAACTGGGAAACAAAATCCCAGTTCCATGTGGGCTCCCAGATCCCCCTAAATGCGGCATCAAAGTTGTGAGAAAGCAGTTCTTCCAAGCGGGAACGCGTAGCCAGCAGTCCGCAGTGATGCCCACTGTCCCCGCGTGCCGTCCCACCCCACCTCCCGTGTTACCGCAACACTTTACACCGCCGCCGCTTTCCGAGACCGGAGCTATTGTATTTTCCTTTTAGTTCCTGCCTTTACGGAAGCGGCTGCAGCAACAGGTGAACGGAGGGGAGGATGTTCGGGGCTGGGGGCTGCAGGCACAGAGCCGCCCGAGTGCACACCGAGCGATGAGGGGAGCCCGGAGAGAGGCGAGTGGGGCCCGGAACGAGAAACGACCCCTTCCCTTCTCCTCCTTGAGGGATCCAGTGGGGGGAAGGATCCGCTTCTGGATGAGGAGCGAGAGCTGCACAAATATTTTTTACACCTGCGACACGAAACTGGCTGCTCTCGGCTTTAATTGGAAATCTTTTCCGTATGCCCCAACTCTCGGATCATCTGGGTTTAATAAGTGTTCACAACACCCCCGCTGCTCCGGAGAAACGCCGGTGTAGGAGTCGGCTGCGCCTGTGCTTCTGGATCCCGGCAGAAGACACAGCGGCAGGAGAGCGTGGCCTGCGATGTGCTGCGGGTCCGGGGAGGGTGGGGTGACGGGGAGAGCCGTCAGGTGGGGGCTGCAAAGCACACGTATGTCCGCACGCACCTACAGGAAAGCGAGGAGCGAGCACGAGATCGAAAGCAGAGCCGCTCTTTCCTGCAGCCAAGAGTGCCATTAAAAGCAAATCATTCCAAGTAGTTTTAAACTACAAAAGCATGAGATCTTTCCCCTCCTGTTACTTTTATTTTATTTTATTTTGGAAGGGGGTACAGATCTCGTCTCCCCCTCCCGGGTGACCTCGAAGGACCGGTTTATTCACTTTTCCCATGTGTGAGCATTTGCGCCTTCCGGAAATCAATCCAAAGTTTGTTCAAAATTCTGAACTGAAATAAAACGGAGCTGCAAAAAACCTCCCACGCCCTAAAGACGGAGAAGAGCCCTTTTATAAAAAACGTTCCCAGCTCGTTCTACTCCTCACGGAGAACATCTCTGGAGGGTTTCGCTGGGTCCCATCCCTGTGTCCGCTGAGAAGTGAGCTTTTCCCCAACATGCAGAAGCGACTGGGCTGCCAGTGGGACTGCCCGAAGCCCCGAAGGCAGCGAGGTGCTGGGATCGGGCTGCTGGCCCCAGGGATTTATCCTCTGGCAGCACTGAGATCTGGAAAGAGATGGGGGAGCATGAGAGGACTTTCCTCGTCCAGTATCACCTTTTGGAGCGCCGTTGGGACGCAGCCCGCAGCTCCTTCTCCCTCCCTCCCCTGCGCGTCGGATGTCACCTTTAGGCTGGCCTCAGTGACTAAGCTGTCCGGGGAAATTCTCTGCCATCTCTAAGTTTCCCAGGGCCGGGCTGGCGCATTTCGGTGCCTTTTGCAGCCCCCTGATGGATGCGCTGAGGCTTCGGGGCTACCTGGGGTCAGACAGAGGAAGAAAAACTGTTTCCAAGTGCCTTCAAAGCCCCTCAGTTGGGCACTGAAAATAAATGAAGCTCTTCCCTCCTCCCGTAGAAAATCGGCAGATTTTTAAATTGTTTTGTGTGTGTGTGTGTGTGTGTGTGTGTGTGTGTGTTTTCGGTGCCGCGAAGTTTGCGCTTTTAACGTTACTCGAGAGGGAACAAGTGACACGCGGTTACTGCGGCAGTGTCACCCCGAAGGTCCCCTGCGAGAGCAGCCACCCGCAGCCGCCCCGCTCGGAGCTTCTCCGTCCGTCAGGAGACGAGATGGGTTAAGCAAAATGGGAAAAGAAGAAAAGGAACATGAGGAGCGGAGTTAGACGGCGAGAAGAGCGACTCTTGGGGCCGTCGCACCGCGATCACCGCAGGGAGCGAGCCCTGGTCGGCCGGGGGAATTGGCTGGGGCACGGCGGCAGCTCGGCTTTGGTGACAAACGTGGAGTGCAGACAGGACGTGTCCGATGCCTCCCCTCTTCTATCATTTATCTCCTGCCGGGGGGCGTGCGGGGAGGGGGGTGGGGGGGAAGAGGGGTTAGATCTCTCTTTAATTGAAACCTAGTAAGGAAAATAGTAATGGATACCAGGATCCGATTGAGAATACGTGTCCGCGGCTACATGATGAGTGTTAGTTCAGCAGACTTTAAGAAGCCAATTCTTCTTCTCTGTCATTTCTCTATTGACAGTAGCCCCTATTAGATTTACCATGTCCTTTTGCAACAGCTGGTTCTCCCACCCCCCTCCCCCCTCTTTCTCCCCCGGGCCGAGGTATCAATCGATCGCCTGGTGGCTCCGTGGCATCTCGAAGAAAATGGGAGCGGAGTGTGGCAGCGCCGGTGCCGGAGGCTCCCGGTTTCCCTCCGTGCTCCTCTGCAGCCGGCGCCCGCCGGTGCCTCGGGGGTGACCGAGGGGCGGAGGGTCGGATCAGACCCCGGGGGAGGTGGGCAAGGTTCCAGCGCCGGGGCTGGGTTGTTAAAGAACACGGCCGATGGTCAAAGCAGATAAAATCGGTTTCTCTCGCCGGGTGCCTTGTTCTACTGGGTCTGCAGGGAGCGGGCGGGGGTGAGGGGGGAATGCCGCATCTGGAGAGCTGGAGGGCTCCTTCGGGAAGGCTCGTCCCTCCTCGGGATTGTTGTTGTGTTGTTTGTGCGTTTAAATAATTGAATAAACGTATCCACTCGTTCCCTCTTTCTCTCTCGCATGCAGACACACGAAGACAGCATTGAAAAGATAGATCTGTTTGACTGTAGGAAACGACAATTAGTTCTACTTCCTGAGCGGCAAACTGTATGTATATGCCTGGTTATTAAAAAAAAAATAAAAAGTCTTTATCCAAATAGCGAACTCTATTTAGAATTTCTGCTTAGCCAGCGGTGGTGGAAGCAGAAGGGTCGAATAG